GATAGATAGATAGATAGATAGATAGATAGATAGATAGATAGATAGATTGATAGATAGATAGATAGATAGATAGATAGGGTAAACCACAGAGACACACAACCACCCACATTCCCTCCTGGGGGCAATTTAGAGTCTCCAATTAAGCTAACGTGCATGTTTTTGGATGGAGGGAGGACACTGAAAGGTCTCAGTTCCCCCTGGGACTCGAACTAGGAACTTTTTTTCTGTGAGGCCACAGTGCTAACCACCACCCCACCATGCCAGCCATAGGCAATATTTAATTAAATTTGTACGTCTTTTTTGGTCAAAATGGGGGGATGGAAACAATTTTTAAAAAGCCAGTGTGTGTAGCCCGTCCCATATAATGTTATCATCCTTTTTCACCATGTCTTTGTAGGCAATGTTTCCGTGGCATTGCCAATCCAATTGGTAAAATAAAATAAAAGTGCAGAAAAAAGAAAGATCTTGTTGACTTTAAAAACAAAATATTCCCTTCAGAAGTACATTATTGGCCGTGTCTTAAACATACAAGAGATAAGTCCACGAGTTCCAATTGAGCTTGTACCGGACCACCATACCAGTACTTTAGTAATTGGTGACCACCTGAGTAATCTTTCCCTTACGGACTCTGGAAGGGAATGGCTCTGAGATCGTTCTTACCAGTGTTTATGATTTGGTTTGACTTATGGGACCAGTCTAAACATTTAAAGGGGACCATCCTCATCCTCCAGGAGTTTTTTGAGCATTTTGACTGATTTTTCAAGAGCCACAGAATAGTTTGTGCTATGACTATGTAAACACCGAACACACCAAAAGAAAGAGTAGACTCTCTTCTTTCATCAGGAAAAAAAATTAGTTTCTACCTTATTCCGTTCTTCCTGGACTTGCGTCTCACCGGCGACATGTTCTCTCATAGAACCGTTACCTTTTTCTTATTTGCCTACAGTCTATGCTCATCTCCCATCAAAAGTGGCACTGCCACCGAGAGGGTCAATTTGTTACTACATACTCTGTCTAGAAGCCTGATATTTACGGACAAGCTTTAGCAGATCGTCCCCCAAGCCACTCTCGTTGAAAAACATAAAAGACGTCTATAGACGTCTTTGGCAGCCAATGAGTTAATGAAGAGCCGGTTTGGTAAAGATACTAGGACATGAACTTGAGTCATTTTTCCCCATTTACTGTGTTTTATGCTAAAAGAAATTCTATTAGCACTCAATGTAAGGAAACCTGCCAATGGGGGTTTGAAGGCACTTTAGAAAACCCTGAAAGTATGAGCTTGAAAACCCTTCCAGACATCACTGGAGGCTGGATGGTTTCTGCCTGCAAGATTTAGAATAGGGAAGGTGGATTAAGACTCTATTCCTGGAGCCACAGCTGTTCCTCGTCTTCATTTTGGAGGGGGAAAAAAGACAGCTGGCACCGTCTTGAAGGATAACACATTCGAAAACCACTTCAGGCACCTTTAAGCACATAACCGGGCCAATAATAAATGGTAAAGCAAAGTGATAGATGAGAGGGTCTGTAGGATTTAGAGCGATGGATTTCCAGAGATGGAGTAAAGT